AAGGATTGCTTGAGCCCAGGAGTTTGAGGTTGCTGTGAGCTAGGCTGACGCCGCAGCACTCTAGCCTGGGCAACAGAGTGAGACTCTGTCTCAAAAAAAAAACAAAACAAACACAAAAAACAAACAGGGTTGAGGACATGCAGAGGAAGGTGTGTGGAGCTTGGTAGAGGGAAGAGAAATTGAGGAAGACTTCTTGGAGGAGGAGACCGTTGAGCTAGGGCTTGAAGTTTAGGGAAATCGCCGTGGAAACTGAGATTCTCCTTACTGGAGAATGCAGATGAGTTGCAAACTATGTTTAAATGCATGAGAAGGTTCTGGAATTAGACATGTGGGTTCAATCCTGATTCTGCTCCCTGCTGGCTGTGTGACCTTGAGTTAGCTACTTAACTTCTCTGAGCTGACACTTGCTAAATGTTAGGCATCACTTTCTATAACTGGTGTATTAAGAGCCCGTTACTGACTACAGCGGTATCGACAAGAGAAATCGCTCAGATGGGACGCCGACTCTGAACTCAGTGTCCAGGCCTCGGGGCACTCGGCCGCTCACATGGCCAATTCCGTGAAGTCAGGAGGGACCCCAGTATCTGTCCCTGGGAGGGGTGGTGAGACTCTCACCTTCTGCCTTCCAGTCCTCAGTTCCTCCCTTGGCCACTCCAGCTTGAACTGTTTTGCGCCCTTGAGTGAACGGGGACCAAGGAGGGTGAACCAGTGTTTTGGCCACTGCACTTGCCAGTCCCGCGTGAGGAACCAGCTTCTCCTTTTGGGGACAGGGGAGTCACTGACACCAACGGTCTTGGCCTCAGCAAAAACGGAGACCCGTTCACAAGCATCACTTTCTCTCCAAATCCAGGAGCCAAGTAAATTCAGAAAAAATCTTTGAAGAACACCACGCTGTCTGAAATCTTGCTGCTCACTCTCCAAAACTCAGGAACCGAACAGGGGAGGATGACGCGAGGTCTTTGCCATCCAGGCTGCCTGTCTGGACCCACCCACCCCACACGGACAAAGACCTGAGTAAATGGGCAGCAAGGACGCTCCCGTGGCTCATTCTAACACCCTGCTCTTCTCGGGGCGGGGGTGGGGACCAGCTGAGATGGGGCTGTCCGGCACGGTGCCAGGCGTCCTTCACTCCGGAGGGCAGGGACACGGAGCGCGACGCTGCACCGGCCCTTCGCTGGGCGGCAACAGCGGCAGAAACGCCAGGTGCCCGTTCCACGCGTGTCGCAGAGCTGCCCCGGCCACGGGGCGGGGCGATGATCAGAGTAAAACGCTGTTTTTCCCTCCTGCTTGCCCGGAGCTCGCAAGCGCCAGAGGGGAGGGAGGGTGCCTGGCTCCCGAGCGGGCGGCGCCCCAGGTCCTCCCGACACCCCGCAGGTGTGGCCCCGGGACGTGGGCCCGGGACGCCCTCTGTCCTGTGCCGCCGGCTGCTCAAGCCCTTCCCGGGCCTCCCGCACGTTCCCCAGCTCTGCTCTCGTGGGATTGATTAAAAGGGCAAGGATTGTCTCAAAAAGCAGAAGAAACTTGTAATGGATTTAAAGCGAGAGAAAAGTCCTTTTAAGCACCATGTTTTTCCCGTGATTCCCACCCCGAGCGTTCAGGAAAGTGTAAAACCACGCACGGTGGAGAAGCTTCTTAGATGAGCAACTTTTAGATTAATTTACCGTGATGGACAGACGAGGTCAACACACACCTTGCTTATCGGTGACCCTGGAGCCTGGGTCTCTGCCACAGCAGGGACAGGTGACTCTACTCCTTGCTGGGGACGGGGCAGGGGGGGGGGGGGGGTGCACGTGCTGAGAGCACACTGTGCCTTTAGCTCCCTGACCGGCCTTTGACTTAGGAAGCCAAACGCAACTGGAAGGGAATGTTTAGTTGACAAATGGAGGAAAAGAGGGAGGCCACCCTCGTATGTCACTCCCGTCCCTGTGTGGAGATGGGCAGTTGAGAGTTTAGCTGCGTCTGACCGTCAGAAAGAGACCGAACTGACTCCCAGGACGAAGGCAGCTGCCCGCCCTCCACCCTCCTCCCTGGAGGGGTTACCTGTTCCCCAGAGCCAGGAAGGAGGTGCAGCCCCACCACGAACTGGCTCCGCTGAGCACGGGCAGCCCCGGGCCGTGGGAGTCCCGGCGTCACCCTCAGTCGGTGACATTTTGTGGCAAACACGGGCCCGGCCGGCTGCACGGGCAAACACGGTTTAGGAGACCACCCCCCAATCTCAAAAACTTACAAATGGAATTCACTTCTCTAGGGAAAACCCCCAAACCCGTCACGCTTTAGTCCAACAATCAAGGCTGCTTCAGAAGAGCCGCCCCAGACCCCACCCTGCCCTGCCCCCAAGGACGCGAGCAAAACAGCCTAGAAAATGAAATGCTACAGTCTCAGCCTCCGCCAGCCTCTCAGCTGCAGTTTTTAGAATTAAATCTAAAATGTTGTTGCTGAAATGTTTGAGATATTACTTTCTGGGTTTTAGTGAGATTTCTTTAATGCTCATCGACTGCTGGGTAATAACTGGTACCTGTATGTCTCATTTCAATTACCTGTTTAAAATTCGCCAAACCATAAATCTATTCCCAGGGCTCTGGGAATGTAGTTTAGAGTCCCCATGACTTTGAAAAACCACTGATCCTCGTGTGCTCCGAGCGGCTGCGTGTCAAGCCTTTACGGTGGGGTCAACTCATTTTGTGGCTTCTTTAATGCTGCGAGTTTACATTTCATTGCATATCTATTATTTGGGTTGGGCCGTGATGGATGGTTTGGCTGCCCGGTTAAAAACAAGTCCAAGGCAACAGCAGAATCTAATTTGCTTTAAAAATGATGATTAGAAAGCCTTTCAAACCACGATCCGGGGATGAAGGGGGCAGACAGCGCATTGCTCTGCGTGAGACATGTGGAGGAGAGGGGATGAGATCCCTCGTCTGCCAGGGGAGCTCATGTCCATAACGACCGTCGTTAGGGAAGCCAGGGAGGCGTCTCTTGCATCAGGGGCAACAGGCATGCCTCTGTTTCCCCGAGAGCACAGCCAAGGGCTTGCTGTTTGTCCCCAGACCCATTCTCAGGAATTGCGGCCGGGGGCAGAGGCTGCTGCGGAACCAGGTTGGAAGATGGTGCCCCAGGGGTGCCCTTCTCTGCTGAGTGACACCGTCCCGGGACATTGCGCAGTGATGCCTAGCGCACCCCCCACGCCCTCGAAGTCCAGCCTCCGCACGAGGCTCTTAACACGCACTGGCCTTTCCTCCGCGGCTCCTTTGGCAGACGGGCCCAGAAAGCACTGCTGGGAATGTCTTGGATCTATCCCAGAAAACGGGCTGCCTCTCTCCTGACCTGGAGAGCTGTTCTCCCTGTAGTCTTCCCTGACTGTTCTACGGAATTAGAGTCATCGAGGGGTCCTGGTTCCGGGAGGCGGAGGGAGAGGATATTGCCCAAAGTGTACTCTGCGGATGGGAGCGGTGGTCCTGCCCGGTGACGTGCGGATCAATGTGGAACAACGGCCTTTCTGGAGAAGAAGAAAGTACCCTACCTCCCTGTTTTGGGCAGCATATGTACAGTGTAAATTTCCGTAGTGTAAATATTCCCGCCATGGCCGATTGAAAGCTGCCAAGCACTTAACTGTTTGCTTGCAAAAATCCTGAAAATTTAATAATCAGCTCTCGTGAGGCAAGTCTAGGGAGTTGCTGATACTTCCACGTGTGCTAGAATTTAGAGACACGTTTTTGGCAATAAACTCCTTGGTCCACAAAGCAAAGACCTGCTGCAGCGGGATAAGCCAAGCAGTCATTCACACCTTAGTATGAACTAGTATGAGTGCATAGGAGTTTTACTACTGGGCAGGGAGGAGGGATGATGGGGACCCGGCATAGATGCAGCCCTAAATTGGGGGTTGGGCTTTGGTCCTTGGTACTAAGGACGCTGTGAACTGGAAAGGCCCCTACCTCCCTCCATGTCAAGCTCATGACACTTCCCACAGGAAGAGTCACACTTGTTTCTCCTCTTATGTCATCCAAGTACCGCTTCTATGTGCCACAAGAGCCTTCTTGCCAGCGAATCACAAGGACCCCTTTGCGGGCTTGTGAATGGAGCAGCCGCCACTCAAGGGGTGTCCACGTGAAGCAGGACGGGACCCCAGGCACAGGCTCGGCCGTGGGGGTGCCTGGGTCTGTACTCGGAGCACCCGCGCCCTGGGGGGCTCACCCCCACCTCCAGGGCCCGCAGTCGGGCGCCGGGAGCCGGCGGGTCACAACCACGGCGCATCGCGCAGGGCGGCCTCGCCACCTGCTTCAAGCAGAGCCTCACCGGCTCCCAGCGCAAAAGCGCTTCCTCTCTCGTCTCCAGCTGGGGCCCAGCCCCACCCTCTCCTCCCTGCTGGCCTCCGTCTGGAGCGGTCAACCCGCGCCAGCTCTCACTCCTCCCTGAGGGCCTGTCCAGCACTGCCCGGGGCTGACGTAATGTGACCTCTTGGGAGGTCACCTCAGGGAGAAGACGCGGCTGCCTAAGGCGTCTCGTCCACTCGCGGTATGAGCCAGGGACTCCGCGGAGTGGCGCTCGGGTACCGCCTCCGTTTCACCGAGCACCAACCTCCGTTCTTCTCCAGGGAGCCCCTGCCCCTCCTGGCCAGGCCTCCAGGCCCTCCCACAGGGGTTCCCCGCGCAGGGCTCCCCGATGGCCCCGTAAATCCCTCCCTCCGCGTGCCGTCACCAAAGCCTTGGGGCTGCCCATCACTGCCCTCACGTCCGCGCCTCCGTCACAGTCCTGGGTCCCCCGGACGGTGAGAAAAACCTTTATCCGAAAGGACCAGGGCGCGCGCGGTCCCCGTCCCCACCCACTCGCCTTTCGCCCTCCCCCTAAAGCCAGGGCAAAGCAGACCCCGCTGCTGCCCCCTGGGAAAGCAGCCAGCCTGGCAGACAGCTGAGGATGGACTCCCGTCCCCCGACACCATTCTGGTGCCGGAACATCCACGGAAGCAAACGCATTTGCCACTGGCGCCCCGACGGCGCTGGACTTACGGAAGGCCGTGTAGAGCTCACGCAGGGTCAGGGAGCTGTCGCCGTCGTAGTCGTCGAATCGGAGGAGGTCGGCGGGAGAGCAGCCGTGCGAGTCCTGGTCCAGGTCCTGCTCCTGCAGCGCGAGCTGTGGGGCAGGCAGGGGAGAGGCCAGGGCAGGGTGAGTGGCGCTGCCGGAAACAGCGCAGGCCGATGGGGGCCCCCAGGGACAGCTCGGTGGGCCTTGGGGGGCGCCCGGAGCTCTTTGGTTTTGTCCCGTCCAGCCCCCTCATTTCACAGGTGAGAAACTGAGGCTCAGAGAGGGCAAGTGACCCCCGCAAGGTCACCCAGTGGTGGAGGCAGAGTCCGGACTAGAGCTCAGGTCTGTCCTCCCCATTTGGCAGACAGACCACAGACAGTCTGAGATGGGGAGGATCCCTGAGGCCTCCTGATGTCCCCCCGAGTGCCACCGACGGGAAGAAGAGAAGAGAAGGGGCCTCATCAAACGAACCCAGCAAAGAGTGGCCGAACGCGGCGTGGGGCCCATGTCTGCGGGCTCCCGCGTGTGTGTGGCTGGAGGTCCCGGCCCCAGCAACACACCCTGCACCCGCCAGCCCTGACCGACGTCCGCGCGGCCTCCGAGCCGCGGCTCACGTGCAGACGGGGCAGCTGCCATTCCACAGACACGGCCTGGGCCCCGCTGCTGCCGGCCCTGTCCTGCCAGGGCACGAGCATCTGCCCTTGGGGTCCTGGCACAGGCCTGGGGCTGGGCCCTCGCCGATGCCACTCTGGTCGTGGTCGGAGCCGTGGGACACAGGCCTCCCGGCTGACCGGCCACATGCCAAAGCACAGGCAAGGGTGGAAGTCCCAGGCCCCGCGCCCAGCTGGAGCCAGAGGCCGGTGTGCCTGGAACTAGAGGTCTTGGTTTTTCCTGTGATTCCCAGAGCCTGGAACTAGAGGTCTTGCAAGGAAAATGCTCAGAAGGAAGTCTCTGAAGAAAGAAAATGATTTTATTTTATTTTGCGGGGAGGGGGGCAGAAGCATTTTCTCTTTATTTAACATTCTCAGCTTGGCCTGCTGTATCAAAGGCAATTTAACGTGATAATGTTAAAAAAATCACCCTTCACCTGGCAAGTGCGAGTGTTCGACAGAAGGGAGATCAACCGTAACGCCCGAGATCAATCTTCCGAAGACAGAAATTTCCCTTTGTCTATTTCTGCATTGGAAATTGATTAGCTTTGCACAGGACCAACGGGTTTTCCCGGCGCCTTTGATTCCGTGTCGAGGAAAAGCCCGGTTTAGCTCTGCTCTGCTTGGCAGATTTATGAAATGAACTTTAAGTGTATTAAATTTTAAAGAGGAAATCATAGTCCAATTACCGTGCTTGTTAATGGCTTCAGGTGCCTCGGGCCACTTAGTTGCCAGATTAGAGCAACGGGCGCAGGAACACTCTGTTTACTTCGCAGTCACCTGGGAGTCGCATGGGCCAGGGGTGCCCGGAGCTCGCAGCGGCCTCTGTCTAGGGCGAGCTGGCGCCCCCCGCCCTGGTGTTCCCGGAACAGCCTGCATGTGAGGAGTCGCCGGGTGGTTCTCCCTGCAGGTGGCCGTGACTAACAGGACCTGGGTTTTTCCCAGAGCGGCTCAGGCCTGCCCTTGGGGGTCTCGGCCCGAGCCGGGGGCCTCCTGTTGACGGAGGTGGTCACGTGCTGGCAGGGTGGGGGCCCTGGGGGCCACGGGCAGCGGGGCCCTGAGACGCGGCTGTCGCTGCTCGGTGGGGGTGAGCAGTCACCCGAGATTCCTGACGTGCTCCCGGGAGCAGCTCCAGACTGGCTGGGGCAGAGCTCGGGGTGGCTGCCCCTTGCCAGGACTCTGTGGACATCTGCCGTCTCCGCAGACCTTGAAGGGACCACGTGGTGCCGTTGGTGACAGCCACCCTCCCCAGAGGGACCCGCGTGCCGTGGGGAGAGCAGGTGCCTGCGCGTCTGCCCACCGGGGCTTCACCTGAGCCCCGGCACGTCCCAGGCAGTGAACGCAACTCGGGCCAGTTGCTCGATTTCCTAGAGCCTCAGTTTCTTCATCTGACAATATCTGTAAAGTGGGATGACAGTGGTCCCCGCCTGACGGCAGAGGGTGGGACAGTTTAAGGAGGGATAACAACGGAGATGACAAAGATACTGACCACTAAAGACACCCCGCGCCGGGCACCGTGCTAAGCCCTTCCCGTCTCAGCCCGCTTAACCCTCAGGAGTGCACAGATGAGAAACTGAGGCTCAGTGAAGTGAGGGGTCTCCTAGGATCCCCCGGAGGTGCCCGTGGCCTCAGGCAGCTCGGCGGTGCAGTCCGCGTGCCTGGCCCCCAGCCCACGTCGCCAGGGCGCTTCTGTGTTTATCGACTGTGGCAAAGGCCTCGCTCAGCAAACGCCACGGCACTTCCTGCCCCAGTTCCTCCCGACTGCCTGGCCGCAGCCCTGGCCAGACCACCGTATCGCGTGGAAGATTTCTGTAAACTGGCATCAAAGGCGAGACATGTCCTTGTCATCAGCCCGCTGTGTGGACAGTCTGCCGTCTCCGGGGAAGAGCAGCCCCCGCCCCACGGCCCTGCCTGGGGAGGCCGAGCTCACTCCCTCTCCCTGCAGATCTCGCACTTGTCTGGTCATTCCAGGCCCCTGGCAGATAGGCCAGCGGAGCAGGGGTGGGATGCAGCCCCCCCCAGCTGGCCCTTCTGCTGTCAGGACCCTACAGGACCCTCCCGCAGGGGCTGAGGCTGTGAAGTTGCTCTTCCCTTGGTGTCTCTGCTGTGGACGCTAAGTCCCCTCGTGCACCTTCTAGCTGGACACAGGGACCCACGGCCTTCGGGGAGAGGCGAGCCACAGGGCGCAATGAGATGCTTCCCGAAATGACAGCAGGGCCTGGGGTACACGCAAGCAGGCTGGGGTTTGGGGTATTGATACTGGGAGAGCAAAGAGCAGTGGCAGCCTAGGGTGGAGGACTTGGGGACTCCCAGCTCCGCAGGTGTTCGGTGGAAACCACACTGCTTCCTTGTAGCCTTTCTGCCGAGGAAAGCAGAGGACTCAAGGAAGAAAAGACTGATTTCCTGACCGATGTCCTCCGAGACCAGCCCTCTGAAGTGCTGAGAGCGCTTCAAACCCGCGTGCAAACAGCGGCTGGTGGGAAGGAAAAGCTGCCGTCATTTTGTTTGTGAGACGGTCTCAGGGTGTCGAACACACGCTCCCGCGCTCTTGGGAGGGGTGGGAGAGGTTCCTCTTTTAGAAGAGAGAGTCGCAAACAACTGCCTTGTGTGGCCCCCCCCTTCAACGCACACGCCGGAGGGACCCCGGGCTCCTCCACCGTCAGACTGTCACCGAGTGCCGCACCCACCTGCGCCAGCTCCGAGCCGCTGAGGCGGCCGTTGCCGTCGGCATCCAAGTCCTTAAACAGGGATTCCACCAGCAGGCGCTTCTGGGAGGGGGCGTCTTGTCTGCTGTCCCTTTCTTGGAGGGGCTGCCGGCGGGTCTGCAGCACCAGGAGGACGTTCTTCAGGCGGGCGTAGCCGGCCATGGTGCATGGGTCACCTGGAGGGGAAGATGGGTCGTTAGAGCGGGACGCACCCTTGGCCTTGAGAGAATGTTACCCCCGTCGGTCTGTCCGTGCATCGCACTCACGGATAGGTGCTGGGCATGGCCCGACCGCAGTGGAGGGGACCTGTCTGCATGCCCACCAATCCACCCCATAAATGTTTGCTAATGCTTGCTGCACGCGATGTACATGCTGGGGGGAGACTGTCCTCCTACAAGTATTTACTGAGCACTTACTACGAGCCAGAGTCTGCGCAGACGGACTGACTGAGTGGAAAACCTCCCAGCAGGGTGGCTTTAGGAAGGCCAGCCCCAGTTCCCCTCCCTAATAGCTCGTTTTTGCCTTAATCCTACCCCAAAGGCTGCTTTTGAAAACTGGGCCCCCTGCATCAGGGAGTTTTAGTTGACAGGACTGATAAGGCCTGCTCACGTTAATGAGGAACTCCCAGAGCTGGGCTACTTCAAAACAAATGTACGTACACAGTCTCTGACCAAGGCACAAAAGGAAGCTTCACAAAATTAAAACCGAAGCCGCAGCCACCACCGCCGGGCCTTTTATCACAGGCGTGCTCGCCGAGCGGCGCTAGAATCTCGTGGTGTTTTGGCAAACGAGGCCTGTGATGAGCTGCAACGTGACACAGTTTGTCTTGCTGGTGACGGGCCACGCGGATGAACACCACATGGGGAACAGCCCACGGACGGGGGCTGTAGGGGGATCGGCAGAGCAGGGCAGCCCCCCACCTCCCCGGGGGCTGGAGAATTTGCCGCGGCCGCTGGCCGGATCCCGGAGGATGGGCCTGGGTTCCGCGCTGACCATCCCAGGCTGAAGGCTGAGGGGCCGCGGCAACGGACTGTCTGGGGCTCTGGGCCCTCCCTCTTAACCGCGAGGCCAGTGTAGGGCGCCAGGCAACAGTCCAGGTTGGAAGGTCAGTGGAAAGCCGTGCTGGAAACCTGGGCTCTGAGGTCCACCGGGTGTGCGTCCCAGCTCTGCTGCCGTCAGGCTGTGTAACCTTGGCAAGGGCCTCAGTGCTTTCCCCTGCGAAGTGGGGACAGCAGCGCCCCCCACACGGGTGTTACGAGGACGGCTAAGACGGGCACGCACGGGCTCTGCGCTGGCGGGGCGCAGAGCGAGGGCTCCTAAATGGCAGCTACCGACACTGAAGCCACGTTTGCTAAAGAGCCACAGGGATGGGAGCCATTGGCGCAGAAAGGGATGGCGGGAAAGTCTGTCTGTCTGTCCCTTTCTTCCTCCCTCCTCCCTCACTGGATGAGCCTGGGAAGCCCACCCACTTTTTCTCGTGCTTGTTTGTGTTTCTAGATTTTCTTCCAATTTGGGGTCAATCGATTCCCGTCACAAGCAGATGCCATAACCGTTTCCTCCCGCGTGTTTATTCAGAAAAAAATCGATGGCTGAGTTCAGTATGATCAAATCTATTTGCTCTCTGGGAGTCTCTGTGCTCCGACGAGAGTGGCTTTCTCCCACCCTCTACGCTTGCCGGCCTTCCTCTCTGCCTGGTCGGACATCGATTCCCGGGGGTCGTGGGGCCGCCAGTCGGCAAACCCAGGTCTCGGGGCTGTGCAGCTGCCAGTGTGGAGAACAGCGGGGCTCGTCCCGGCGTAAACCGTGCTGGGCTTTCTTCTTCCTGGGCCTGGGGAAAGACCACTTCGGGGGAAGGAGAGGAACAGTCCTGCTGGCATCTAGCCCCTCACCCCCCAAAAGGGGTGAAATCGGGTCCTGGCGACAGGACGTGGGCGGAGATGGGAGTGGGGTGGACGGCGGCGGCACTGCCCAGCGCTGCGGCAGCCTCAGGCTTTCCCGGGCGGCATTTGCGCCAGACGCCAGGAAGTCGTCAGAGGCCCTGCCCCTAAATGCCAGGACGACCAGGCTGCTCAGCGCAGCCCACGGTGGTCCTGCATGTTCTGTGTGTTAGGCCAGCCAAGACGGGCAGGACGTCCCACCCTCGCTGGTCCCCACGACATTCCTCGCGGACCTTGGTCAGGCAGAAGCCTCTTCTGGGCGGCCTGCTGCGCTGGGCCGGGGCCCACAGACAGACGACACCCCCAACTGGCAGGCCAGGGAAGCCATCAAGGCGGGTCCTGCTGGGGTGTGGGGGGTGTGGCTGCGGCAACCTCCCCGCCTCTGCCCCTCCTGTCACACCCGACGGTTCGCTGTGAGCGGCTTCCAGCTCCGTCACCCCGGCAGCTGCCCGCAGACACCTGCTGTCGGGAAGTTCTGCACAGTCTAGAAGCCACCTGGGCAAGGGGGTGGGTGCCCAGGTCTCCAGGACAAGCTCCCTGAGTCCCCGGCCCTGATCCCCTCCCATCCTTTTGCCACATTTATTTATAAGCCACGTGCCAGATGCCGGGCGGCATGCTGGGGACGGGACGGAGCTTCCAGTCCTAGACAAGGTGGGTGCCCGGGGGGAGAGCCAGTGAGGCCCAGGGGGGAGCGAGGGAGGCCCAGGGAGGGGTGTTCAGGATGAGACCTGCGGGATGAGGAGGAGTTGGGGGAGACGGAGGCGTGGGGACAGCGCGCCAGGCAGCAGGAGCGGCCCCGAGAGAGCTGGCCTGGCTGGGCTGGGGCGGGCGTCGGGGAGGGCGTGAAGCCGGGCGGGCAGGGGAGGGCGGTGTGGCCGTGGGGACGGTGGGAGCCAGGGCAGGATGCCGGCACCGCAGGTCACACTGCTCAGGGCCTTGTGTCCTTTCTCTCCTTCACCGAGGGCCTCCCTGCGCCTGGCCCGTGCGCTGGGGGCCCGAGACGATCGAGGAGCTCCTGGGAGAGAACCTTGAATCCGGCTTTATTGCAGGAGCAGCTGTGCTTTGAATGAGTCGCCAGAGAGGACTCTGCCTAAACTCCAATCACGAAGTCACCTGTCCAGCGTTCCTGAGCACCTCCCGCGCCTGCGGCTCTGGGGCAGCTGTGGACACGGAGGAAGGCCGGCCTGGCGGCGGGATTTCTGCGCCCACGGAGAGGATCGCGGACGATCCCAAGGTCCAGACTCTTTCGCTGGGAAGCCCCGTGGAGCAAGGACGGCTTGCTCAGTGGCTCCCCGCTTTGGTCATCTGAGTTCCAGATGGGAGGAAAACTCCAGGGGCGGGGCAGCAGGGGAGGGAACTTCCTTCCTTGCCCACTTCCGGCCCCCAGAAGTGGAAACCCCAAAAGCTTCGGCTTCCAGCTCAGTGTCCAAGGCGAGCCACCCCCGCAAGGCAGGCCCCGGCCTCCAGGACGGCTGTCTTCCTGGCAAGGTACGTCCAAGTGGGATTTCTCCAAGCCCGGTTTTACTTTTTCGTTCCCGACCCCCTGGTTTCACCGTGGGGTCAGATGGGAGTGGCTCACCCGTGCGGGCGTCTGTCGTTTGGCCAGGCCTGGTCTCCAGCGAAAGGCTGCCTACCATGCTTCCGGTTTCGAATGTTTGTCTTATTATAAAAGAAACACCTGTCCACTAAAAACCACTTGGAAAGCACAGATGAAATAAAAAGAAAATACATCATCCGGAATCCACCTCCCAGAGACCAGTGCTGTCAACACACTGCTGGCCAGAGGTTAGGCTGGGCCCCCATCCACGCGGGCTGGCCCCACAGCCTCCGTTTCCTGATCCTCCTCCTGATCTTTCTCGAGTTCCACTCAATTCGGGCAAGAGAGTGTCAATACCCAAGGCCCAAGTCTGTCTTATTTCACGGGGTCCTCCCTGCCCACCCGCCCGGCGAGTCCGCCCAGGTGGCTGCAGGCCGTGGGGACCTGGGGGTGCAGGGACCTCAGCGGCCGACACTGACGCGCACGCCAGGGCCCTGCGCTGCTGCGGCCTCCGGCTGGAGTGCGCTCCGCCCCTTCGCCACACGGCTCGCCCTCCACTCCGCCCCGGCCGCTGCTCACAGGCCCGGTCCACACCAGCAGCCCGTCCGCATCGCTCTCCGTGCCCTGACTGCTGGGGGCACCTGGGTGCCAGGGAGGGGGAACCGTGTTCCTTCCTCCTGCCCCCATTTCCCATCTTAAAATGGGGTCACACTCGCCCCTGACCACCTCGCAGGGCGTGACACGAGAAGAATGCGAGAGGAACTTGCGGGTCCAAGTGCTCGGCCCGGCCTCGGTCTCCTCCCGGTGAAACGGGCCCCGGCCCCACGTGAGCAGGGCTGTGGCTCCGTCACCTTTGTCTCCTGCACCCTGGGGCCCGGGACAGGCTGGCAGCCAAACTGCGTTTAGGGACAGACGGGAGGGGGGCGATGTCCTCGATTCCTCCCTCCCTTCCCTGCCCACGGACACCACTCGGGGGCTCGCAGGGAGGGAGGCCGCACGTCCTGCGCAGCTGACACTGACGGCGCCCTGGACAGGTCCTGGCAGGGCCCGGCCACCTCCCTCTGGCCCGGCGCCCTCCACGCTGGAGGCCGGCTCAGTTAGCCCCCGGCCCTGGTCCGGGCTCCCTGCCAGCACACGCGGGCTCCTCCCGCGCGCAGACCGGGCTGCTTCGGCAGATAAAATATTGATCGGCCTGCTGGGGAGCGCAGAGTGTGATCCTATTTCCATGTCAGAACTCGGTAATGAACCGCATTTATCAAGCCCGTTCTCCAAGAGAAAGGTCAGTTGCGGATCTGGCTAAGTTGTTATGACACCTCATTAATCTCGCTCCCTTAATAATTGTCCCTCTTTGAAGATTCTAATGTTCTCCCGTTCCAGCCGCACCCCCTGCACGGAGGGAGATTGTCATAGCAGGAGCGCAGGCACGTTTAACGTTCGAGCAAAGGCAGGTAGGGAGCAGGCAGCAGTCTCTGGAATTAAACGTCTATCAAAGAAACACTTTCTGTTGCAAAACAAAAGGAATCAAGGGACTCGCGGTAAATATTCCATCCGCCGCTCGCGCCCCTGCCAGACGGTGCCTCACAGGGGCCGACCCCCTCTGCGCAGGCGTGGGCGGGGCTGGGGGCTCCAAAGAGTCCAGGGGACAGGGCTGTCACACACGGGGGCAGTGGGAGATGCCACCAGCAGCAGGAAGCTCAGCCTC